GTACATGGACCCTTAGGGAAACACTACCACCAATATTCTTAGTAGTATTGGCAGCAGTGGCCGTAGTGGTATAATCGCTGCAGCGGTAGTACTGAGACTATCAGTTGTAGTCGTCGTCGTCGCGTGGTAGTAGCAATAGTAGTCTAGTAGTTGTGGTCGTCGTCGTGGTGGTGGTGGTGGCGGCGGCGGTGGGACACGAGCAGCAGCAGTGGTACTAGTTACTAGTACTGGTGTTCTATCACTAGCAAAGAGTATTGTCAACAAGCAGCATCAGCAGGCAGCAAGAGCAGTGGCAGCAGGTACGGCATTGGCCAGCGTAGTGGCAGTATAGTACGGCTGCGGACGCCCAGGACAGTCACGGCTGTCACACAGAAGTTTTTCTGAACATGCGAGCTTCGGGTGTCCATGGGTATCGGTATTGTCAATTTGCACAGGTTTGCCGAGTAAGGCCATGGTGTTCGGCATCACTGGTAAGACTACATACATCTAGGAATCAGGTTCACAGTTCAGAGTTAAGCGAGATGCAAGGTTGCAAGAATCAAGCCAAGATGTGGTGATAGATGGTGCGTCGGAATTTTGTAATATGCATTGTCGGTAGCAACACGAAACTACTTTTGACTGCCCGAGTCTTCATAACAAGGAAGTGTACGGCACTTCGCCTCGCACCTTGAACCGTAATGAACGAGGTCCAGGCCTCAGCTTACAGACAATGCCTGGATAGATCACGAGCCGAAGCAGGGTTTAGGGTTTAGGGTTTAGGGAACTGAAAGAGCCCAGAACTTTACAGCGTTTCTCAAGGTGCCAATCTGGGTCCCTTTACCGGAACGACGTATACGCTGCCCCTTGGTTGTATCGTTTCGCCCATTGCTCCGCCCGTGGCTGACGAACAGCGAAAGCATGCAGAGAGGTTGCTGATCTTGACTATTATCAACATTAATTGTGTTTGTACTCGTTGTAATGATTCCTAGTATTCTTGGTGGTAGTAGTAGTCGTCGTCGTAGTCCTAGTCGTGGTCGTAGTCGTAGCCGTCGTAGTAGTAATGGTCGTCGTCGTCGTTGTCGTCGTCGTCGCCCCAGCAGCAGCAGCAGCAGCAGCAGCAGCAGCAGCAGCAGCAGCAGCAGCAGCAGCAGCGCAGCAGGAGTAATTAGTAGTTACTGTAGTACTGTTATTCATGTTTTCTATTACAAATAGTTCTTCCGAGTGCTAACTATCATTATTATTACTATTCCAGTCAACTCCCATCCTTTTTGACTGGGTTTTCGGGACCCCCACAAAAGTTAGCATACAGAGACCAAAACCCGGCGCCATGCCACACACTTGTCCTTCCAACGGAATCCCTTAAACCGGACAATCCTAAACTCGCCCTCATCGCAACCCCAAAAAGAAAGATGGGGCCTCGGGAGACCCTTGCCATCTCTCGATCATTGCACCCTAAACCCTAAACCCTAAACCCTAAACCCTAAACCCTAAAACCCTAAACCCTAAACCCTAAACCCTAAAACCCTAAACCCTAAACCCTAAACACTACAAGCCACATCCTTGGAATCCGGTTTCAAGGTTGAAAGCCCAAACCACATCGAAGGGGGCTAGAATGCCTGTATAGTAAACCCTAATTTAGGGTTTAGGGTTTAGGGTTTAGGGTAAAATTGGAAAACGAATAAAGGACAAATAGTGTTGGGATTCCCTATGCACTGCTCTTCAGGATTGAGGCTATTGGGTTTCCAACTTTTAGGCTTCTACTGTAGCTGTAAACTTCCCAGGAGTGCACAGTAGTGATGCTGCAAGGCCATCCCTAAACCCTAAACCCTAAAGCTCGGGACCTTCTCTTGCCATGCCAGCCTTGTGCGAGTGTGTGAGTCGAAACCCTAAACCATCTTCTCGAGCAAGTGTGTGACCAGAAGGTCGGAAGTTTCTCTAGCCGGAAGCCACTTCATCCAGAAAGCCGGTACAGAGGTAGAATATAAGGGCCTTAATAATTAGAATAGGGCTTGGGGAATCTTATACTATAGTTATAAGAGGGAGCCCCCCAAAACCTTATTTTAACTATTAAGGCCCCTACATTAAGCCTCGACAGTAGTCTAGGAGTGTCCTGGCCACATCGGTACTGACGATGAGTGTCCCGGCGCCCTGCCTCGATTTGGGAGGTTCTGAAAATAAGGGGTGCCTTATGTTGGGGGTCCTTATAATAAGGATCCTACTATTTCGGGTACAATGTGAGGGTCCCCTAATTTTTGGAACACCTTATTTGAGGTGTCTCGAAATTTGTCCAAGGTGTAGCGGCCGTAAATCCTCCGCCCATAGTGGGGGGAGGTGAGGGTAATGTCAGGGTTTCTGGTTGTATAAAGGTGTTTCGGAAAGGGTATGGGGTTGCTTACGCAAGGCCCGGATGGCATGTCATTCTCACCATCTGTTGCTCGCATGTTCAGTGCGCCTTGTCTTGGGCACCCTTTGGGCGCATGCTCGCCTTCAATGTCACTTCCGTGCACTTAGTGCTCACACTGCTTTCCGTTAGAGTAATCTACAACGCATGGGGTGCGCGGGGGGACTTCCAGTATGACTTGCCTGTAACTTCACATCTCCCAAAGGGTCCACGTACTAATATGGTAGCTACTTTGTAGGTATTTGGACCCCCAAAGTATATACTATACTATAACTTGGACCCTTTGGGTCTTCTGGCGTTGATACATGCCTGCACTGGTGCAGATCCCGCCTGTTCGGCTAGCCCTTCGGCAGAGGGTGTACTTTTTGGAGGCTAGTTAGTTGACCAAAGAAGATATGTTACGGGTTGAGTGATTTGAAATGCCATCCCCATGCACATAGTCGCTACGTCCCTTTGTTGCTGCACAACAAGGTACCCCTGTTCCGAGTTTCGGTTCCTCGTGTCATCAAACCTCGTGAAGTTGTTCGTGGCCCTTCTAAAAACCTCGTGCAAACCCATCCCCAAATCCTCCAACTCCTAACCCTCAAACCTCTCAACTCCAAGCCAAAGCCTGCAGATATGACTCCAGGAAATCGTGGAGCTCCTGGAACCCTCAGCAAGATTTAAAAAGAGAATCCACTCTATGGAATCTTAAACAAGTCCACGGCCCAAGGTTCGGGTTCGTGGATTATTGGTTTGGTTTAGTGCTTATCTTCTTCTGAGGTATGTGGGGTTTTTAGGGTCTACGATGCTTTGAGCATCCCATACGTCCCACCTTCCAGACCTTAAACACTCGAACTTCTACATCCGAAGATGAAACCCTAGCTCCATAGCCCGCAAGCCTTAGGAACCCCTGAGGCACGAACACACACACACACACAC